TAAAGTAAAAACATCCACAGTAAATACAACCTTGGGTTCAAGCCCAAAAAAACAATGTAAATTAAGTTCGACGTTTTATTCATTAATAAATATTAAATAAGAACTCCTTCGGCACGGCCTCCACGTCCAAGCTTTCCTCCTCAGCAGTTGTTTTCTTTGCTAGTACCTGCGTGCAGTTAAACACTACACGCTCAGCATAAGCTGAGTGACAAATAACCAGTAGACATATATATATATATATATATATATATATATATATTTAATGAAAAGGATTTTATTAAAAAGAGGAGGAGTACAAGAGAGGGGTGGCCAACCCAACAAAACGGCCAAAGAAAACCAGGTACAAGAAAGGATCAGCTACCAAACAAACAAATACAAAACAAAAAAAAAAAAGAAACCAAGGGAGTATGGCCAGACTTATCATGCCAAGCAAGATGTGGCCAGCGGCAGCATGACCCTTACCATAAAAATGTCTAGATTCTTCAATTTCAAACAACTTATGTCCTAGCTGTAATAGTGACCTGATTCAACATGTCCCTTTCCACATAAATGGCCAGATTCTTCCCTTCGTGCAGCTCCCGTCCAAACAAAAGACCCAACCATAGTCCAAATAAACTGATCAAATATGAATCCCAAACATAGTCCTGCATATTTCAAGTTGTGATGTGAAGAGAAGTTGTCTATTGGAAATCTCCGTTGGCCACATGTACTAGTAAATGGGAACCAGTATGAAGGAATCGAGGAGGCAGCGATGGAATCCACGCAAAGAACCTTAGCCACCAGTCCTACCACCCATCCCTCGAGCGTATGTCTCACCCAGATGCTTGGAGGCGTTTGGCGTTGCTTTTCATCCCAACTTTGGGTTCACATACATTGCCAATGGAGCTGATTCAGTCTGCTCTCGATCTTCATTGAAAATTGCTTTCTCTGTTCATCTCCACGTAACTAATTGCTACTCTAGATGCCCGTGAGGGGGAACAAAACAGCACATGAAAGGAATTCTAGACAATCAGAGTTGCTAAACTTCAATCTCTAAGGCACTGTCCAAAAGGACCAGTAAACCATCTTTTAACCTGATGTCTAACTAAATGACTACACTGTCTCAATAGCTGCAACCATTCCCTCGAATACCCTTGCCCTGAGGGTGAACAAAAGAAATATACAAAAGTTCTCAGGCCTTGGTTGTTCTTGATTTGGTGAAGGCTTAATCAAATTTTGAATGAGGTTGCATGACACTGATATCCAAAATAGAAACACTAAAATTGCTGCTCCAAAACAGCATATGATCAATGTTGAAAATCATCCTCTTCATCTTCATTATCAGTTGCCAAACTCTTTTTTAGCCTTTTCTTAGCTTTCTTCTTTTGACTTTTTGTCAAAGGTTTGTTGGCTTTCTTGGAATACTCCTCTTTCTTGTTTGGACAGCAAAGTCGAAAGCATTTGATAACCTCCTCTTCAAACGAATCTTGGGACTCATCCTCCTCCCATAAAAGTGGAGCTATTTTCCTGCCTTCTTCCAGAATTTTTGCCTTGCTTCGAGTAACTATTTGAGAAGGTGAAATTGTTCTGGTGCCCCTAAGTTCCTTGCGTAGGTTTAAGTGTTGTTTGGAACATCTTGAGAAGTCTATTTGCAGAGGCTTAAGCTTAGAGTCTATGAATGCTATATCCTCTCCGTCTGAGTGGGTGTAAAGTATAGGTCCATCCCTATCTTCAATAAAGTCCTCCACTGCATTCATGCTATATATATATATATATATATATATATATATATATATATATATATATATATATAAAACATGTAAATATATTTTGGGCCTTTTAAGTTATTCAATTTAATTCAAAAAGAAAAAAAACTTTTTGCATAATTAAAAATCATCGAGGAAATAATTTCACTTTGAATAGTTACTCGGGGACATTTAGAAAACTTTTGACTACCAGGTTAACCACAGATTAGAAACTAAGCCGTGACTAGGCTGGAACACCGCACTAGTCGATTCGTAGTGTTACTTCGGATACCTCTCCGTGACCTCGGGTCCAGTAATCAGAAGTGAACCCTAGACTCACGGGGTCATCGTTGGGTTCTCGTGCGCACGTTGTGGTATGATTATTTATAGGCTCATCCACATGGACACAGTCCTGTTAGAATAAGAGACTAACGCTAGAGGGGTGTAACACCCCAAAAATAGGTCTATCAGAGTTAATTAATTTATAATTAATTAATTACTGAGAAGGATCCAAAAATAAGTAAATTCTAAAGTTTGTCAATAAATAATGAAAATCATATCATTATGTAGAGTTTGACTGTCTGACCCCAACGGTTCAATCGGATTTCAATTTGGAGAAAGTTGGACCAGAAAGTGTACCCCAATTGGGACCAGAAATTAGTCCCAATCAGGGACTACACTCCAATCGGCGCTCACTGTACAAACGGCGCACTATCCGATTTTGGTGACTCAGGAATATTTCATCCATGTCTTCTTCTCCTTCCTTCCTCTATTTAAGAAATCTTTATTCCCTCAATTCTTCACCAAATCATCCCAAAATTCTCTCTATTCTACTGCCTTGAGTGAGGAGAGTTTGCTGGTGTTTCCATTTCAAAGAGAGGTCGCCGGAGTTGAGAGCTTTTGTCGCCGGAAGTTTCCCCGTCTTTTCACCGGAATCATCATTTAACATTAAAGTAAGCCCCTAGATATATCTAATGACTAGAATGTTCATATAGGTCGTTTCTACGTTCATAAATGGTCATTTGGTTGAGTTTTGTGTTTGACATA